CCAAGAGGTTCATACAACTCAAATCAGCTAACTAAATATGTCTCTCATGCCCTCGCTATTCAAGAAATCATAGGTTAAAAAACTAGACACAAAGGTAAATGCACTCAAAGAGGCTATTCTATGTATTGGAAATGAGATAAACTCTTTAAAGTTACGGTTAGCTCTCTGGTGCCATAAGGAATATAACTGGACAATTAAGTCTTGCCCAGAGACAAAGAGCCTAACTTATAGAGAAGGAACAGATAAGGGCAGAACATAAGTTACTACATATACCTTTGCTAACTGGTGATGTATAGCAGTCCCTTCCCTAAGGCCTACATTCCACAAACACCTTCCCTTACCCTGGCAGCTGTGATGAGGATCGATAAGAGTATCTACAACTTAACCTATGACTTAATCTTGGCATTATTAAAATGTGTATGTTAACCTGTTTTTCACTGAGAACACCCTGTTATCTTAAGTTACTCAACCTCACTATAATTGTGGTAGTTCTGCAAGAATACTTCTGTAAAACTTGTTTCTGTACACTTTCCAAAGCATCTTATCACAGAGAACTATCCATTGTAAAAATTCCATTTTCTGATGCCATGTTAACATTTGACCTATAAATAAAGACACCAAAACTGACAGTGCATAGATGCCTGCCTGGTGATCAGAAAGAATCTTAGGGCTCTCTCACTCTCTCTCACTGACACCATCCACCTTTCAGAGGCCCCTGGACTGGCTGGAGCTGGACTCCAGCAACTGGTCATCCCATAGATAATTGTTTTACATCTCTAGTCAAATGTACTGTGACAGTGGCTCTTAGACACATAGGCATATTTTTTGGATGAGGAAACCTATGCACTGTGGACATAACAAACTCCTAAGCAATACTGCTTTTTATAGATCATTATTCTTTTGGAACAATAATAAGGGGGGTATCTATCTATCTATCTATCCTTTGTTTTCCTGTTATTCTTATACACCTAGGATAAGCCAATCACTGGCCCAAAAAAACACCCCAAAAAACAAAAACAAAACAAAAAAACCCCTAGAGAATAGTAAATATATTGGCTAGTAGGTATAGTTAGATAGATAGATGATAGATCGATAGATTGATCGATCGATCGATAGATCATGTTTCTAAACATTATTTAATCCATTATTCACAATATATGTTACAATGTTGTCTTTGGAGCATAATAAATGGTATTTTATAACTATGCAACCTAACTAACTTCCAGTTACCATCTTAGTATATCCTTGGATATGATAGCTAATCATTATAGATTTTCCAGGTCATTCCTAATTTTGTAACATCTCTTCTCTTTTGTCAGAGACTGAACAAAATTTTGGTTTGGATATATTGTCACATATCAACATAATTAGCTATAGTAAATCTCTGTGTATACATGGGAAGGTTTATATAAAGTTAGTAGAACAAATAGACTTCTGTATATTTAAATATTAACTTTTCAGTCTCTTCCCAACATTCAATTCCAACTGCTAGTTTATCTTTTCTTTCTGTGTTTAATTCTTTTAAAGGTTTTATTTATTCTTGAGAGAGAGAGAGAGACAGAATGTGAGCAGAGAAGGGGCGGACAGAGAGGGAAACACAGAATCTGAAGCAGGCTCCAGTCTCCAAGCCATCAGCACAGAGCCCAACACGGGGCTTGAATCCACAAACCATGAAATCATGACCTGAGCTGAAGTTGGACGCTGAATGGATTGAGTCACCCAGGTGCCCCAGTTTATCTTTTCTAAATTGTGAGTGTCTTTTGCCATGAACATGAGTCCTTCGTAACTTCTTTTAATCTCATTTCAAATAAGTGGCATTGAACTTATATCACTACCTACTAATTTAATTTTATCCCGAGTGTATGTCCATTGCTCTTGATACTAAATTTCAGTGCTGATTATCTATATATTAGAGAATTTTATTTGTCAGTGGTAATCAGGATCAGTTTGATGCAAAGACTGGTGCGCTGACTTCTTTCAGAACCAAAAAGAACAAAGTAGATGCTTGTTTCAAACACTGGAGGCTATGGAACTTATAAAGTCATTTACTTTGAGTAAGTAAAGAGTTAAACTATTTTGAAGGTAGTATAATTAAGCTGTACTATCTTATAAATCATCTTAAAATATTCATGAGTGTCACATCAAACATTGGAAAAGGTCACAACATACGAGTTGATAAAAAAGCACAGCATAAATATTCAGAGCTTTAAATGCAGGCTGATCTGAGTGTGAATCAAAGGTCTGCTGACTATGGTATGTCCTTCCCTCGGTTACCTGTCTTCTCCCAGCCTGCATCTCTTCTTTGGAGATAACCTTGATGTTATCATTTTTACGTGGTTATTATACAACTACACATACAAAGTTTGTAACCCAGATGTTTGGCATTTAGAAAACCTGTTGGACACTGCTTGTCCCCATTATCTTTTATGGAAAATATCACATTGTGAAACCAGGTTATAAATCATAAAGAAAGTTTTAACAGACTTTTTGTTTTAAATTTTAAAACTGTCTCCTCTAAGTGAGTTTATCCTATACGATGTTTCCTTATCCCACAGAAGGAATAAATTACTGTCAAATGAATGAAAAATGGGATTCAGCAGAGAATGTAGAGGTAAGGTGGCACTTGGGGATAATATAATAAGTGAGGAAAAACAAAAAGGGAAATCCGATTGAAGAGTCAGGTGTTACCTAAAAGAAGTAGGTCCTAATACTCAGTTGTACCCAAGATTTTCTCCATTCTCTTTTTAGCCTGCATAATGAAAATTAAGACAACACTTACAATCATAAAACCCTTTAACAACTTTAGGTCTAACTTTTTATTTTTTTATATTTATTTATATTTATTTTGAGAGAGAGAATGAGCAGAGGAGGGGCAGAGAAAAAGGAAGAGAGTATCCCAAGTAGGCTCCACACTGTGAGTGCAAAGGCTTGAAACTCACGAATTGTGAGATCATGACCTGAGCTGAAATCAAGAGTTGGAAGCTTACTTGACTGAGCCACCCAGGCATCGCTAGGCATAACTTTTTAAATAACTATAATTGCCTTCATTTTTAGACTTATACATTTCATTTATACACTAACACATCTTTCAATAGCCATATACGTCAAGAAAGTACATCCAATAAAATTTCATTGGGTGGGATACCAACCATCAATTTTGAACTCTGCACAAGGGTAGTCTATAATCCAGACATAGTTTAAGCATCATAAAAGTCTGGTAATAGCAAATGCAGCCTTATTTGGTTAATGTTGCCTCTTTCTGTTTATCAATAGTACCAAAAGTAAAAATTAAAAACTATAAAAAAAGGAAGAAGAGGAAGAAGACCAAACCCAGTAACCGTTAACTGTTGTCAACACATTTCTCATATATCTTTGAAACAGTTGAGAAACCAACTCCCTGGAGAAAAGAGACAGAAGTCTCAGTGCAACAGAGGCAGATAAATGTTTCCAGGCATTGGCTAAACAACATTTAGACAACCAGCAAATATATGTCAGCGCCTATGGGTATCCTGAAAATAGTTTATTCCTGTGAGAGAAGCAATAACATCAACATTGGCCTGAAAAGCTCCCTAGAGAATTTTAGAAGGATAGCCAATTAAGATAAAGAGTGTTTTGACATCTTTATAAAATGTTACATCTCAGGATAACCATAGGAGAAGGGTAGAATCATCATTTCATGAAATATGAGTGCTCATTCTAGAAAAGCATGTTTCAGATACCATGGAAGTCTACATGAAAGCAGCTAGATATTTATTAGATATTTAGATTGTGTCTTAGCATAATAGATTAGTTAATGAAATTCAGTTTGTGTAAGTATTATAATGATATGTACCTATACTTTAACTAATGTTTCCTTATTTAAAAATCATTTTTATTTACTACTTTATAACAAGGTAAGTGGTTGCTATCATTCACTTACATGCTTAGGGTACTAATCAATCTATCATATCTAATTCTAGTGAGAGAATTACTGTATTATTCTTGGATTACATGGAAATTTGCCATAATATAGGATAAAACAGTTAGACAATATGTGCAAAGTAAAATAGAAAAGAAAAAGTTCAGATAATTAAATCTAACTTTGAAAAAAAATCTTCCATTCTCTCTAGATATTCTTAACAAACTTATGAGAAAAAATAGGTTTAGAAGAAATAACATGTACTGGTTTATCCTAATTGTGTAGATAACTGCTCTAACTATGTACAAAGCAAGCTTAACCTCAGTTCACTTTAGTTTGATAACAAAGGGCAACCTCAAACATAAAAGCCAAGATTTCAATAAACACATGAATACAATCTCTTACTGGAGAACTATCCTTTCATAAATAAGCATTTTAGAAGGAAGTTAATTTTTCTTTTCTTTCCTCTTATTAATCTATTTCATAAAAGAAATCCATCTCTCTTACAAGAACTATAAATCATATCAGTGGTGTATTAATACTTTTTGGTTTGTTTTTCTTAACAGTTACATCAGAAACTTTATCATTTTATATTTTAATTCCTAAATGGACACTACTAAAACATTCAGGGATTAGCCCTAAATCCTTTAACCCACAGGGAGCCCAGGAACGTTGTTTAGGTAGAGAGCTGCACAAAATCTCAACTCTCATTTGCAAATTTTCTTTCCATCTAATTTAACTTTGAAGCGTTTCAACTCAGAGGTTTTGCCATATGACATCAACAAAACACTTCAATCAAAATCAAGTTACCTTAGCGCTGCACAGTTCTCCAGATTACTAAAAAGGTAAAATGAGAAATTCACTCTCTTTTCATATTTCCCTTTATTTTCTCTTGATGCAAGGCAGCCTGCTCGGATTTCAAAAGAAATTGCTCTGGCATATCATTATCCCCAAATGCCGGTTTTCATTCTAGGACACTTGCTTATCAACTAAGCCTTTTCCTGGCATAAACAGTCACTTGCTGCAGTGCAGAATATCAGTTTGGTCAGAACTTTCAATGCAGAAATTCAGTGCGATGCAGTCCAGATCTCCCAGCACTTACCTTAATTGAAATATTCTCTGTGAACGAGGTGAGAAATCAGTCAATGGGGTGGGGAGATGGAAGTTTTCGATCAACACCCTCCAAGTAGCTGCCTGCGGGGCGTCTTTTTCCTGTTTATGTAGAGCCTCTCACTGTCTACGAGGACAAAAAGATAAGCTGAAATCCTCAGAGGCTCCAGTGAGTAAATGAGGACTAAGCGATGTTTCCTAACGGGAGATCCTCTGCGAACACGCTGCGTTTGGTGGCTCCCTAACTGCTGTGATAGGCTCCTGTCGGGTCCCTGGAGCTGGGCGATAATCATTGACCTGATTAGCAGGGAACACTCCCTGCGAGCAAGCAATGCACGCCGAGGGTTGGTGGGTCTCCTGGGAATCGGAAAAGGCACCAAGGCCACTTGGGAATCTTGCCTTTTCCAGCCTGATGGATGAACTACAGATAGAACTATAATTTGCAGGGAGATTAGCCACAGTGTTAAGCCATCGGAGGACTTTAACAAATGTGCTTTCTCCTGCTGTTTTGCGAAGGTGCATTCCTGTTAGAGCTCAGGTACAGTGAAACAATTAATAGCCTGATAGAGCGGATTTGTAAGAAAAGCCTAAAGCTGAAAAATGTTTAAAGCAATGTGATAAAAAAAGATAGCTGCATTTGTCTTTGCTCGGAGCCTGGTACATACTTCAACCCATGTCTACGTAAAATGAATTTAGAGGTTTATCGCAGCCCTCCAGAGTGCAACTCTCTGATTTATTAAAAGTATTCCTACTAAATAAGCTGGTTTGCGAATTTCTTACAGGCATCAAACCTCAAATCAAGGCATGCAGAGGAGAGCATTGCTTGCGTGGTTGTTAAAATAGCATTTTACGTTAGCAACAGACTCACAGAGATGTTTGCCTTATACTATTAACCTGAGTAACGTAGAATACGACATTACACCTTCTCTTCTATTATCAGTTGAAATATCGATTTCTAAAACAAAAACAGAGTATGAGAGGATCCAAAACGTCAAGCACTTTACTTTTTCCCCTCCAAATGTCAAACATTTTAAATATAGTCATGTGCCATTAACAACCTGCTGATTCCTATATCCACTGACCACCTGAGAAGCTCTTCAACATCTCTGACTTTAAAAGTTACCACTTCCCTGAAGAGATCTAATTTCTCAAAAAGGTCACATAACTAAATGCCAAAGCCCCAAATGGTTAATTTCTGACAGCTCTCACTTCTATAGGAGAAAATTATTCAAATAACATAAAAAGAACAGATGAAAAAAGTCATTTGCATGTCTTGAGGGTGAGAAAAATCTCATTGCCAGGGAGAAAACTGACAAATGTCCTCTCACAATGGTGCTGTGTGATATGTTCAGCATTTCTGCTTTTCCAAGGAGGTTTCACTTGGGACATATGGCGCTCCCTTGATGTGCGTGTGTAAGACAGACAGGGTGGGGGGAGGTGGGAGGCTGCATTTGCATTGTAATATTTTAATATTAACATATATCTTAGAAAACAACATCAAATTTCAATACAGGGGTGTACCAAGCATGATAGGGAATTTGTTTGCCTTACATATTCCCAAGTAAATTTCAGAAAAGGATTTCATTAAAGGACAAGCTCTTTGATGGCTCTTATTGGACAAAATAAAACGTCAGCGCAACTGAATTGCTAGAAGAGAACAAACACTTGAACTTAACACAGATGCGCTGTGGAGAAGCCCCAGGACAAGGGCTGAGCCCGTGTCCCCTGTAGAGGAGGTCTCTTGCTCCCTCAGCTGGTGGAGGGGGAGAGATGAAGAGGAAGAAACTCAGTCGATACACTTGAGGAGAGAGAAACTTCTGCTGATGCTAAGCAGGAAATCCATTATCCAATTATAGATTGGCATTAGAGTGTTCTAGTAGAAAGAGGTTGCTTAAATCAAAATTGATGCACATAAATTGTAAATAAATAGTCAACAGGAAATACAACTACAAATTCTTCTGTAGGGATCCTGACTAGTTGTTAACACAGCACTCGTAAATGAAACTCTGATGGATTCCAAGGTTATGATGTTTGGTTGGTCATGCAATTAAAGCACTCTGTTCTTGTACTGGTCTAAGCCTCATTCTGAGTTTCTTAAATAGCGACCCTCTTTTTAAAGCTTTTTAATTAAAACAGTGCTTCTTTTCTTAAATATGTGGGTTTTTATTTATTTTTTAAATTATGTTTCATTATTTTTGAGAGGCAGAGAGAGACGGAGTGTGAGCGAGGGGTGGGGGGACAGAGATGGATGGAGACACAGAATCTGAAGCAGGCTCCAGGCTCTGAGCTGTCAGCACAGAGCCTGATGCAGGGCTCGAACTCACAAACCATGAGGTCATGACCTGAGCTGAAGTCGGACGCTCAACAGACTGAGCCACCCAGGTGCCCCAAGACAGTGCTTATTTTCCTGAACTCTATCCACCAGTAATTACTGTTACTGCTAATTTAAAATGCTATTTGCAAAACTACACAAGCAGTGCTCTAACAAGTTTAGTTAAGCTAACTTTGCGCCACAATTGAAAGTTGCTACCTGGAAAGCCCTAACTGCAGATGACTGCACTGATGCTTCTAAATGACAGACCTTGTCTTCATAGGCTCCAAGTTTCTTTCACCTTAAAACTGAAGCATTTGCTACAGAGAACATGAGTGGTTCTACAGTATTCTTCGTAACCTATGTTGAATAAGTAATTGAGTTCATGTGGAAGTACACTCACGAGTGACCAAGGAAAATCATACTGTTCTGTGGGGAGTGCGGCAAAAAGACAGTAGTGCTAATTATAGATACTACATATTAAATGCTTGCCACATGTCAGATATTATGCATGGACTTTTACTATCGTTGCTGCCCATGGATTCTTAAAACAAGCCCATGAAGTAAATAGTTTTATTACTTTAAAAATTTTTTGTGAAGTAACCTAAGATTCTGAGAAGGTAAAGAAATTTATCAGTGCCTTCCAGCGAGTACAGAGCAGATCCAGAAATAAACCTCAGGACCTTTTACAGAAAACTCTTGAAGGTTAGAAATTTCCAAACACTAAAACCAACAAAAAATACTTGCTTCTAAAATAATAGGAAACTTTTCTTGTTTTTATGAGTTGAAAAATGCATTTGTATCTTCAAAAATTATGTCTTATAAATTATGTCTGATAAAATATGATATTGTAAGAGTTTAGCCAGGGTAAATAGTTATGTATATTTTAACTGGAAAAGCATCCCAACAACAAAATTTCTTTAGTCTAAAAAATAAAGAATCTAGAACTTTCAAAAGATGTCATTTAATCAGCACAAACTGTTGCAACAACAAAAAGAATTTTTGCAATTCATTTTCTCTCTTCCTCAGAAATAGTAATTATTGTTTCCTAAATGGGAAAATGACCTTTTCTGAATGCATGGCTATCTCAAGAACACTTACTAAAATTATAGTAGGCCAAAATTTTCATGATTTCTAATATCTCAGTTCTCCAGCAGAAATAATGCAACAGAAAAGCTCATGGGAATTGTGGTGTTGAAAAATTCAGTTCTAGTATGATGCTGCATTATCTAAAAGTTTCTTAACCCTCTCTTGAATCCCACCATTTCATATGGTCTGCTGAAATTCTCAGACACATTCATAATCTTACAGAGAAATATTGTGACCACACTTTTTCAAGGCTTCTAATAAAAATTCTGTCTAAAAGAAAAGAATGATGATAATTCAAATTAATTCAGTTCTTAAACTTTGCCAAGAAATTTCCCACCTATTATCTCATTTGATTTTACAGGAATCTTTTGATATAAGTTACGATAAGTATTTTATTCATATTTTAATGATGGGGAATTAGGAATAAAAAGAGCCAAGTAATTGTCCTTTGGTCTTTGGCACTTAGTGGAAAATCTGATGTCTTCCTCTTCCAGACTTATTGCTCTACACCATGTCTAAACAATATGCTTGTCTGAGTCACATTGTAGTCAATACTCTAAACGGGTGTCTAAATGGAAGCCACTCTTCCTTTGTTTATTTGGGTTTGTACTAAAAGGTGAGGATTGAGATTATCATATAATAAAGGAAAAAGTCTGTGAATGATATGTACAGAAATTTTCCCACTTAAATTTCTCATAAGCTTTTCTTGATCTTGACTATTATGATATTAAGACAATTGTGTTAGATGTTGATCTTATGATTCTTCTATGAATCTCATCTTGCTTTTCTATGACTTCAGATTCAAATATCACCTCCCTGCATCATTTTTTGTGTGTGTGTGATTTAATGATCAGGAGAAAGGAACTCCCAGAACTTTAGTGTTAATTGTTTTCAATTAAAAATACATAAACAAATTGAGGCACCCTGGTTGGCTCAGTTGGTTAAGTGTCCGACTTCAGCTCAGGTCATGATCTCCTGGTTGGTGACTTTTAGCCCTATGTCTGGGTCTCTGCTGACAGCTTAAAGCCTGGAGCCTGCTTTGGATTCTGTGTCTTCCTCTCTCTGCCTCTCCCCAACTCATGCTCAGTCTTCTCTCTCTCTCTCTCTCTCTCTCAAAATAAGAAATACACATTAAAAAAAAAGTGAAATAATTAAACATAAATAAATAAATAGTAAATAAAACAAGCAAGCAACCTAGCAAAGTATTAACAAACTGACCTTTTGGCCACAGCATTGAGTTAATATTAACACAAGGTGTTTGCTGAATACTAACAGATTCTCATATATTATACCTATTTTGGCCTCGGTGTAAGGATAGGAGTGGAATGGCTGAATTTAATGGGCATTAAGGCAAAGTTTTCACATTTTTGAGGCTAGCTTCATTCATACAAGCCCATGAATTTGAAATGCTATGAACTCCTGGAAGTAAAGAAAAACTCAGCTGGGTGTCAGAAGCTTGGACTATGGTCAAAATTCTGGCACTACTAGTTTTATAACCTGGAGCCATTTCAAAAACTTCTAGTTAAAATTTCATTGGAAGATGGGAGGAAATTAGCATATATCATCTCTAAGATTTTAGTCGGCTATTAAATTACGTTATCTATATGGCTAATAATTTGGAGTATCTTTTCTACTTAATTCAGAAATAATCAGGCAGCCAGGAAGGAAAGGCTATAAGCAAATACACTCTTTCTCCCCATCCCCACCCTGTCATA